TGGGGTGTTGGTTTTAGTGGATCGTCTGCATATCTCCCTCCCAAACATTCAATTAGAGTTCCAGGGACACCGAGACTTAAGCAATTTGAAATGAAACATCTAAAGCTCTTAATATAATATTACTAAAGAATGACTACGCCGTCATTACCTCTTCGGATGATGTGAATCTCATATAAAGTACAACGTGACCAGTCTGGCAGCGCTAACAAACAGGTCTGAAGTCTGAACAGTACCTCAGTATCTGGAGGACCCAGCTGGAGTATCTGCCAAGCATGCTAATTGCTTACGAAGAGCAGATTATGCATCCAAGGGAAATCTATTTCATAAATGTGTTTCCTAACTTTGATTATATCCCTAGTATAGCGCAATAATTATATTTTATACGTAGTGTACCAGCCAGAGCAAATTGTTCTTAGGACTCACAGAACAACTCTACCCTAATAACCTGGCCGCACATGTTTTTGTTGTACAGTAATTCAAAATTTTTGATAGATGTCAACTTTTAAAGATGATTCCGTGTTCCCTAGTGTTAAATAAAACAAAAAAAGGCAGCGGGTTTGACTGGATTCGTTGTTGTTGCATGTGGTACGTATTATTATTATTGGTATTTATATAGCGCTAACTTATTCCCGAGCAATTTATAATATTATAAAAGGGGAAAGTTATCAATAAATGAGACAATTCTAAAATGTTAGAGGAACAATAGATTAATGATGACCCTGCTTAAACGAGCTTACGTATCTGTCACTTTTTTAATAATCAATTTTGTACCATTCTATTAACTCAGATAGCTGGAATTTTAACAAGAATTGTGAATTTGATTCATATTGCTCACACTACTGTATGTATAGTGTACTGCACAATAATTCCATATAATAATAAATTATACATTGTATGTAGATTAACTTAAAAGGTTAGCTAAAATTAGGCCATATATTTTAAGGAGCACTATAGTCACCCAGACCATCTCAGTGAAGTGATCTGAGTGCACTGTCCCAATCCCACTTAGTCCTGTAATGTAAAGTATGGCAGTTTACATTGCAGGACTAAGATTGCCTCTAGTGGCTGTCAATCAGATAGCCATTAAAGACACTTCCTTTTTGCTAACCGATGTTAGACACTGGACGTCTTCACACACTGCATGTGGACATCCAGCATCAGTAAAATCCCCATAGGAAAGCATTAAAGCAATGCTTTCCTATGGGGAGGCCTAACACTTAATGCGCATGAACATTAGAGTCGGATGACGTCAGAAGAGACGGAGCGCAGATCCAGCACTAAGGGACAAAGGCGCTGGAATTGAGTAAGTGTTAAAGTTTTTTTTTAACCCAAAATGAGAGACAGGGGCGGAGGGGAGGTTGCGCGAGGTAGGGGACCATAGGGCTCTATTGCATAAGATTTGTATTCCATACACTATAGAATCCCTTTAAACTATCTCTTGATATTTGCATTTTCTTTATAAATTACTCATACAGTAACGTACCATTATGGTCATGTGACATATATATTTAACACCTTTTATGCTAAACTGGGAATGGCTCGGCAGAATTGGTTGGCATTATTCTTTTTTTGTGTGTGTGTTTTTGTAGTGCATTGAAACAATACATACAGGCCTTAGGTGCCCCAACAGCAGTCCTCAGGCTTATCACATGCAGTTCAGTTTGGGTGTTTGCAGGGACATGCACAGTTTTTTAAAATTATAGTGAGAACAACATAGTAGTTAACCTAATAGGGTAAATATATATATACATGTTAACAATTGTAGCCTGGTGCTGATCGTTAGAATGGCATTGTGAATTGGCAACGTAAATAAAGAAAATGACAGAAGTGAGACTAAGCATGCTATAAATCAGACTTATCAGGTGCAGGTCACGCAGGAAATAACATTTTGCAGAACATAGCTATCTACCCTGTAGATTATAAGTCACTGTGGTCTGGATTTGTGGTCAATACGAAAAACCCACTAGACCCCAAGTGTAGCAGTCTTGGCTATATGTGGCATCGTGATTAAATGTCATGCACAGGAGATCGGTGGAGAGAGTGTTGGGTCGTGGGAGCGTTGGTGAGTGGTTATCTCTCTCAGCCGATTCCCTCTGTCGGGAGGCATCTGCATCCCTTTAGTGGATTTCGGGGGTGCGCAGTTGCATGGGTGCGGGTGTAGGTGACCCTCTAGCCCCAGGCTGGTATGTAGGCCTGCATCTTTTGGCCACTAACTCTTCTACTTCCTGATCTCGAGTTTCCTCCATGTCTAGGAACGGCGGGAGGCCTGATGGTGGGCTGCCGCTTGCAGCGCGAGGACCGCCGCCGGTGTAGGCGATGCTGCCGGGTCAGGACCCTCTTGGCCTTCAGCCCGGATGGGCTAGGACATGTAAGGATTGGTGGGTATTCAGGCGCTATGTGCGAGGGTAACCCCCTCACCCCGCACTGTCTGCTTCCCTTCTTACCAGCCTCCAGAGTGTCCTGCTGTATTATCTGTGCAGTTTGCCTACGTCGTTGAAGTCTCTCCCAGAAATCCCTGAACAATTTGTCGAGACGTTGCATAGTATCAGTTGTGGTGTCTTGACTGTTCATGTGGTTAGAGAGTTGGTTCAGTGTAAGTGGAGTGCGTTCAGCCGCCATCTTGTGTGTGCCGTGTGTGGCAATGCCGCTGGTGCTTGTTTAACACTTGGAGTCCGGTCTAGGCAGAGGCAGGTTGCTCCGGGCGTCCAGCCGGAAACGGGATATCCCCCACTGGTTCCAGAGGGGGGGAGGGGGTAGGAGAGGTGAGAGTCGAGGGATTTCCGTGCCAGTTAGCAAGTGAGGAGAGTGGCTGTCTCTCCCCTGCTCGATCTTCAGCCGTCTCAGCAGACGATGTCGGGTTCCCGGGTGGGAGAAGGCTGATTCTGGTATCTACTTGTTTGCCCGGGTGTCCCCAGCACAGCTGTAATCCTTCAAAGTGCGGGCGTGCCAAGTTTTTAGGGTTTTTTCCCCCAAAGTGCAGAGATTTGCCTGGAACTTGAGCTCGGCACGTCCGTTCAGCCAGGGTGCTAGGCTCCGCCCCCGGCATTATTCTTTTAACTAGCTACATTCACTTTAGACAACGTCATGCTCTTGTCTATGATCCCAAAACCAATCATTAGGAGATTTCTTTTTTTCTTTTTTTTTTTTTACATTCTTTATCTTTGTTGTGCTTGATATTAACAAACAATACACAAGATAATCACATTTTTAGGGAAACGAAAAAGTTGTAAAAACAATGTGCAGATTGAGTTAGACAGTGAGAACAATCAAGCTTGAGATGCACTGAGATGAGGAAATTTATATAAAAGCGGTACACACAAAAATTACACAACTAAACTATAAAGGAAAGCAGTTCCAAACCCACTCTAGCGACTTAATGAGTTATACACTAAGAATAGAAAATTGGGTGTGTGCGCTAATAAATATAAATCTAAACAAATAAAATAAACTAATTAACTAATCCTTTTATTAATTATCATATATATAAAAAATTAATAAGCAGGGGGTTGTTTCCAATCTCCACTATTAAATCTAACCAGACAAAAATCGTAATAATAAATTCAAATGCATCACAGAAGAAAGCAACAATATGTATAACTAAATGTATCCACTAGCTAACTTCACTAAATGGTTGCCATTAAAAGTGAAAAACCTCAATGGCAAATCAAAGATAGTGGAGATAAAGTGGACACAGAAAAAATAAAAATAAAAAACACAAATAAAAAATAAAAATATAAACATTAATAATAATAATTAATAATAAAAGTACCTAACCTCGGTGTGGGCCGCCACCAGAGGTAAATATAAATAGAGGAAAAATAGAAAAACCATCCGGAGGGCCTCCCTGGGTCAGCAAGATGAAAACACTACCGGGCAGATCTAAACAGCAGCCAGATGAATCCAATAAGGGGAACTCCGACTCCATCACACGTCTAAAAAGACCGCGGTGGAAGTGGAGCAGCAAGGATGAATGGGTGCAGAGTGGTGAAATGAAAACAATAACTGCCCGGATAGCAACAGCCCAAAAAGGTATACCGCGGTCGGAGTCTTCAAAAAAGACTGCGGTATTCAGCCAAATATAGATCGAATGTCAAACCCAGGGGGGACCGGAGAAAAGGGAACAGCCAACAACGCGCAGATCGACGCGTTTCGTCCCAAGCTGTGGGACTCTATCAAGATCAGTACGTGTACATAAAACCCCCACCCAGGGTTTAAATACCTGCTCAAGATAGAACCAGCAGGTAATAACCGAAGTGTATAGTTACAGGTAATCAATCAATAAGAATGAAACCTATTAAAGGACCACTATAGGCACTCAGACCACTTCAGCTTAATGAAGTGGTCTGGGTGCCAGGTCCATCTAGGTTTAACCCTTTTTTCTGTAAACATAGCAGTTTCAGATAAACTGCTATGTGTATAATAGGGTTAATCCAGCCTCTAGTGGCTGTCTCATTGACAGCCGCTAGAGGCGCTTCCGCGATTCTCACTGTGATTTTCACAGTGAGAAGACGCCAGTGTCCATAGGAAAGCATTGAGAATGCTTTCCTATGGACTGGCTGAATGCACGCGCAGCTCCTGCCGCGCATGCGCATTCAGCCGTAGAGGAGGAGAGGAGGCGGAGAGGAGGCGGAGAGGAGGAGGAGAGCTCCCCGCCCGGCGCTGGAGAAAGAGGTAAGTTTAACCCCTTCCTCCCCCTAGAGCCCGGCGGGAGGGGGACCCTGAGGGTGGGGGCCCCCTTAGGGCACTATGGTGCCAGGAAAACGAGTTTGTTTTCCTGGCACTATAGTGGTCCTTTAAGCATTAAAGCATACACAGATGGCATTTATAATATTAACAATTTAATAGACATGTTAATAAGGATTAAAACACTTTACAATATAATTCTACAAACTCTGGTATAATACCAGTTGAAGAAACTCAGTTAAAATATTTAACCACATAATACAAAAACTAATTAAAAAAATAATACATTTCCATTAGACAGCAGAAATCTAAATCAGGTAAGGAATAGAGGGATCTAAATACAAAATAGGTACACTGTAGATGTCACCCATATCGATATATCTTGATCATGCAGCTGCACATATTTTGTGCAGACCAACTTATGCCACATTAACCAGGAACAATATGGCTCAAATTAATAGACATCAAAACCCCATCATTGGAAGCAACAGTACTATACCCGAGGCCTTGAACCTCATCCTCGGAAAATAAAAAATGAAGCCCACCCCACAACAACCCAAACGTCCCAAACTAGTAAAGTTCTAACTCCTCGTTTAAGCCATTTGGTGTGAGGGAATTTAATTTAAAAATCCATAAGGTCTCAGCCCTAGTAAAATGTCTTTTCCTGATAGCAGGATCCCTAGTGGGAGGTATATACTCTATTCCCATCACTTTAATCAACGCCGAGTCACTATTGTGAAATAACTCAAAGTGTCGTGCAACCGAAGATCTCCTATCTTTATTCAAAATGGCCAGTCTGTGCTCTCTAAATCTAAATTTAAGAGGTCTAGTGGTCTGTCCCACATAATGCTGATTACAGGGGCAAATCAAAAGGTATACCATAAAGGAGGTACTACATGTGATCCTATGGGTCACCACAAAAGTTTCTTCTCCCTTATACGATTTGAAAGTGGACATATTATGGCAGTTGTACCCACAAGTAAGACATCTACTTCGCCAACAGTGCATATTGTTAACACCATTCTTTTTTTTTTTTTTTTTTCCAATTTGACAATTTTTATTTTGTTACATAAGTTCAAAGGGGTACAGAAGAAAGAAGGGGGGGGGGTTCAAATGCGGTACAGTTCATACAATCTGTTTATATCCATCAGGTGTAATTTGTGCAATCAGCGCAAAATGTGCCACTCGGGTGGTCTCCACCTCTTGCTACCTTCCTGATATGCATGGTTGAGCTATAGAGAGTGTGTCTTATGCCCCTGAGCAACATTATAGCGTTGTGTTTTAGTGTCCCTGTGAATGTGCTTTGTCTCTTGTTATCTCTGATTAATGGTTGCACAACTTTAATCATTCATGAGGGTACCAAAGGCGAGGGGGGAGGGTTAGTGGTTGCGCTCTTGTCGGGCTAGTCTAAGGTGCTTAGTTGCGTTTTCGTGCTTCCTTGTTCGCTGGAGTATTGCCCATGAGGGGGGGAAGCTTTGCGGCAACGTTTTGGGACTCCTTTTACGGGAGAACTCCTATCCTCAGAGTGTGCTTGTACTGGTTTTGGCTGGTGCGTAGGGTAGGGTACAGGTTGGGGGGGGAAGGGAGGGCAAGGGAGGGGGGGGAAAAAACATTCGACTTTCTTTGATAAAATTTTCTCCTTCATTTCCCTCTGGCTTTGACCTTGCTCTTTCTTGTATATTGCTTAGTCCTGTTCTTGGAACATCGTGCTTGTACCTGAGGGGTTGTGGTTGGTCTAGTTGTCTCTTTGTAGACGCGTTGGCGTCAGTCGAAAACTATGTACAAATGTATATAACTATGTACAGTGTGGGTATCCACTCTTCTGTCTCTCTCCCCTAAGTGTGAGTGTGTTGTAGTGCTTTGGAGTTTGGTCCACTTACGTCTCTCTCTCATTGTTTAGTTTGGTAGCCTACTCTTGCCATATATTATAGCGTGATGTCGCTCTGTTCCTCCCTTCGCCCCTCCAAGAACCCATCCCATGCTCGTTTGGCTAGCGTTTTATAGTCCTGAAGTTTATGTCCTGTGTGTGTGTTTGTTTCATAATCTATATTTGTGGTGGCTTGTTTGATCACTGTCCCTATTTCTGGGGTGTCGGTCTGTTTCCACATCTTTGCTATGTGTAGGTTTGCCGCAATTAGTATGTGGAAGATTAGGAAAGCTTGGGTTTTGGTGAATTGCTCTAGAGTCATGAAGAGGAGTCCACATTCGGGTTCTATCTTCAGTGTTAGGTCTATAGTTTTTGAAATTAAGTTTCCTACTTCCGCCCAATAGGCGGTTATGCGGGGGCATGTCCACCATATGTGGAACATTGTGCCTTCTTCCGTCCCACATCTCCAGCAGCATCTGGACGTTTGGGGGTATATGGACGCCAGTCTAGTTGGTACCATGTACCACCTGTACTGTAATTTGCGCATTAGCTCTAAGTGTGAAGCACATCTAGTTCTTCCTTTGTGTGCTATGTATGCCTTCTGCCAGAGCTCTTTTGGTAGTGTCTTTCCTATATCTAGTTGCCATGCTTCTTGGTATTTCTCCAGTTTCTCTCCCTGAGGGACTATCAGCAATCTATATAGGTTTGATATGATTTTTTTCGGTATGATTCTAGCCTCGCAGATTTGTTCTATGAACTTCGCTTCCCTATGTGTTTCTATCTCTGTGTCGTGCTCTAGGAGTGATTTGAGTTGGAGATAGGAGAATAGTGCACGAGGTGGCAAGTTATACCGTTGTTGGAGGTCCGGGAATTGCATCAGGGCATCATTGTGGTGTAAGTGTTTGATTAACGTACAGCCACCTTTTTCCCATGGCCTGTAGTCGAACGTGGGGTTGGCAATGTATATGCTTTGTAATGGGGTCGCTAGGGGCCATGATTTAGTACGTCCTAGTTGTGATTGGGCTGTGTCCCACGTTCTCCATAGTAGGGATGTGGTATCTGGCACCTTTGGTGTTTTGGGGCGTAATTTGTGGGGGATCCAGAATAAGTAGTGTAGTCCCTTCGGGCTTGTCCCTATCGATTCTATGTCTACCCATTGTGGTCTGTCGTTCGCCTTATGTGCTAGGATCGCTGTGGCCAGTAGGGTCGCTTTGTAATATGTGCTCACCTCAGGTAAACTCAGTCCCCCTTCTGTCACTGGTCTGCTCAATATAGTAGTTGCTACCCGTATTTTACGATTTGCCCATATGAATTTGTTTATGATTCTTTGGAGTGTTTGCAGGAATTTTTTTGGTATTGGTATCTGTAGTGTGCGAAATAGGTATTGGAGCTTGGGCATCACTATCATTTTGACAGCCGCTATCCTTCCCACCCAGGACAGGTACTTGTCCTCCCATGTGTGTAGGGTGTTAGTTATTTCTTTTCTTAATCTTTCGTAATTGTGTTCATGGAGACCTGCTATAGTCTTGGTTATTCGCAGGCCCAGAAATGTGAGGTAATCATCTCTCCAATCTAGAGGGAATGTAGCTTTCAGATGATCTATTGTGTGGCCTGGTACTCCTACTCCCATCGCCTGTGTCTTGGTGACATTTAGTTTATAGTATGACTGGTCCCCGTATAAGCGTATTTCATTCAATAGGTTCGGTAGCGATATTTGGGGTTGTGTAAGTGTAAGCAGGATGTCGTCCGCAAAAAGATTTGTTTTGTATTCTTTTCCTCCCACTCTCACTCCATGTATTGATGCATTCTCTCTAATTTTAATCGCTAGGGGCTCTAATGCCATCACGTATAGTAAAGGGGAGAGAGGGCATCCCTGTCGCGTCCCGTTTGTAAGTTTGAAGGGGCTCGATAGGAACCCCGAATTCAGCACCTGTGCAGTTGGGGCGCTATATAAGGCTTTTATCACAGCTTCTAGTGTGTCTGGGATTCCGAATCTCCGCAGGACTGCCTGTAGAAATCCCCAATGTAGGCGGTCGAATGCTTTCTCAGCATCTAGGGAGACTAGTATGCCCCCCCCTGCTTGTGTTTGTATTTTGTGTAATATAGATATGACCTTTCTGGTGTTGTCCGACCCCTGTCTTCCTTTAACGAACCCTACTTGGTCGCTGTGTATTATGTGTGGCAACACGGATCCTAGTCTTGTGGCGTATATCTTTGCAAGTAACTTTGCGTCCGTATTAAGAAGTGATATGGGCCTAAAGTTTTGTGGTGTTGTTGGCGGTTTGTTCGGTTTCGGGAGTGTGACAATGTGTGCTAATAAAATTTCCTTAGGGAGGGAACGGGAGGCTATTGCTTCATTGAAGGTTTTAACCAGGTGGGGTGCTAGAATTTCCCTAAATGTCTTGTAGTATGTGTTGTTAAGGCCATCTGGGCCTGGGGACTTCCCGTTCGGTAGCGTTTTTATTGTGGCAATCATTTCCTGTTCTGTAATCGGGTTGCTGAGTGTTTCCCTTTGTAATTGTGTTAGTGAGGGCAATGGAACGTCGTCTAGATAGTCTGCTATATGTTTTTCCTCTGGTTGCTTAGTGGTTGTGTTATTTTTGATGTTGTATAGATCTGAGTAATATCGGGCGAAGACTTCGCTAATGTCTTTGGGGGTAGATGCTTTTTTTCCGCTATGGTCTATTAAGTGATGTATTTTTTGGTTTGCTTGTTTGAGCTTCAGTCGGAGTGCTAGTAGCTTGCTAGCTTTGTTGCCCTGTACATAGTGTGTCGCTCTTAGTTTGTTCATGTGCCTGCTAACCTGCTCTATGGCCTGTTGGTGTATGAGTCTTGTTATGTGGGTTATACGTTGTTTTGCTAGTGCTGTCGGGGAGATTTGGTTTTGTGTGTTTAAGTCATATAATTCTCGTTGCCACTCTTTGAGTTTTGTTTGTGTGGTTTTTTTAATGAACGCTGCTCTCCTAATCAGGAGGCCTCTCATTACCGCCTTATGGGCCTGCCACACTGTGGCTGTCGTTATTTCCTCAGTGTCATTGTTTTCAAAGTATAGCTGTAGCTCTGCTGTAAGTTCCTCTGTAAAGCCTTTGTCGAGCAGCAGGGAGTCATTTATCTTCCAGGGGCTACGATGTCTAAAGTCATAATTGTCCTTGAGCTCTAGTAGCACCGGTGCGTGGTCAGACCACGTTATGTGGCCGATTTCGCAGGATTTTAGTTGATTCAGATGGGAGCCCGATATGAGGAGACCATCAATTCTGGAGTAAGAATTGTGCACTGGGGAGTAGTGTGTGTATGACTTTTCGTTGGGGTGAGTAAGTCTCCATGTGTCATAGAAATGATGTGTATGCAGAAGCTTTTGTATGGCCTTGCATTGCCTATGTAAGGGGCGATGTCTGCGGCTGTGTTGGGGCAGTGTAGTGTCCAGTTTAGGGTCCATAATGTGATTAAAGTCCCCGCAGAGCACCGTGATGCCTTTTTGCATGTGCGCGATTTTTTGGAGGATTTTATGTAGAAAATTTCTTTGATTAGCGTTTGGTGAGTATATGTTTGCTATCGTATATAGCATGTCGTTTATTGTGCCTGATACAATGGCATATCTGCCGTTGGTATCTAAATCTTGGGAGTGCAGGGAAAATTTAACCTCCTTGCTAATCAGGATGGAAGCTCCTTTAGATTTCGAGCTCGAT